CTGAATCCAGGAGCCAATTGGCCAAACCCGTACGTGCGCAGGGCCCGTGGCCCAGGGCAAGCGAAGATAATCCGCAGAGTGTTGTGCCCGCCATCTTTGCTCACCAAGCTTCGCCCGGGTGGCTTGAAAAAGCCTCCGTCCTCCTACTCCCGACCTGTCACGGACTTCGGTGCGCGCCCCTGTCCAGCTTGAGGGGCCAGGTGGCGGCGGTGGGTGGGAGCTCAGGGCAGTGCCAGGGCGGCGAGAGTTACGCATCTACGCTGCTCCCTGGCCACGCCCATCCTGAACCCGCCCGCGGTGCATGCCCCACGCCCTCCCGGCTTGGCCAGGACGGCGTATGCACAGCTGCTGGGGTCCGGAGGGGCCTGGTCGGGGAGCGGTGGCTGCGTAGGAACACTTCGCCGCCCGAAGGAGGAGGGCCCCCAACGGGGGCCCTCTGGGGGGCCCCTTCGGGGCCCCTGCGGGCTCCTGCTGGGGGCCTGGAAGGGACCCTCTTGGGGCCCTCCTCTGCGCTGCCCCTTTGGGCCACCCTCCGTTCAGCGCCCGCCCGACGAGCAGTGGATGGGCGTGTACAGTCAACGCGTCCAGTAAGGGGCCCTCTGAGGGGCCCCGTCGGGGCCCCCTGCGGGGCTCCTGAGGGGGGCCCGGAAGGGACCCTGCTTGGGGCCCTCCTCTGCACTGCCCATGTGGGCCACCCTCCGCTCAGCGCCCGCCCGACGAGCAGTGGAGGTGTACAGTCACCGCGTCCAGTGAGGACGCGCGCCTTCACCTATAGGGTACCCGTTGTGTCCCTGCCGCCTCTGCGGGCCGTCCATTGCCGTTTTCACTGGGCACCCGCCGCCCCAGAGTCCCAGCTTCGGCCGCCAGGGGCCTTGCGTCCTTGCCACCTGTCCTTCATACACGTTTCGACTGTATAGCCGGGAACTGGAACATGCACCTTACCAGCGGCGCGCCGCTTCTCAATCCCTGGACTTTTCTGGAGGGCCAGGGGGACGACGTCCGACGAGCAGTGGACGTGTATAGTCGGAATCTGGAACATCTACCTTACCAGCGGCGCGCCGCTTCTCAATCCCTGGACTTCTTGAGGGTCAGGGGCGACGACGTCGGGGTGGTGTGGTGTAGAGCTGTCTCCCCGCTTTTCCGGGGGAAATGGCGAGAACGTATGCACCAGCCTCCCGAAGACACCCGGGTCCGCTCTCCTGTGCGAGTTCCAGTGCAGGGCCCGAACAAGCGTCGGTGTATCGAGTTCGGTTCCCTAATGGAGGATGACGATTGATCAATGACCGGGGGTCGTGTTCACGCGGCGGCGCCCGGGATGACGATTAGAAAAAACCGGCCGCGGGCTGGGAAACTATTGATTTTTTATCGTTCTCCTCCAGTCAGAAAATTATGCAGAAATAGCAGAAAACTATTTGTTTAATCGTTCTCTCCCATTTTTTATTCATCGTCATCCCGCATCAAATCGAGCTCGTCGCCTTACGTGGGATGAATTCTTCAGCGTCACCGCGCGGCGGCGCGCGAAAGCAAAACACTGCGCGCTCGGCGTGTCGCCCGCCTGGCCCGGAGAGCTGCCCTTCCTCGCTGGGGCGGCCGAGCGCGAGTGCCAAGGAGGGACGCGCTGCGCCTCGCACTCGCGGTGCGGCGCGACGCGCAAAGTCACGGTAGGTTTTCCGCCACGCGCAGAGGGGGGTGGGGGGGGAGGGCTTCTTAGAAGCACCCCTGCTTCTTTGAAGGCGCCGGCCTGATCTATAGATGTGAGGCCGGCGCCTTCTAAGAAGCAGGGGTGCCTCTAGGAAGCCCTCCCCCTCCCCCCACCCCCTTGTGCGCGCCGCCACAGGTTTGTGGAGGACGATCAATGGAGAGGAAGCATGCTGCCAAATCATTTCCAGATGTCCCAAACATGGGTTAAACAGGTTCAAAACATGTCAAAGCCATGTTTCACACATGCTTAGAGCATGTTTCGACACTTGGAACACATGTTAAGTTCAATGAGAGGACTGTTCGGGTGTCCATTGTCGTGGCATCTACAGCGGTAGGTTCACGCGGCGTTGGCGCGCCGGCGACGCCGGCGACGGCGTTCAAGATTGACGTCTATGACGCGGAAGCACCGATGGACACGGTAACGCCACTGGACCCGACGGAATTCAATCTTGAGCGATCGGGGCCGCGATCGGTTCAAGGTGGAACGAACGATGCGGTGTCAAAAACCTTTGCGCGCGCCGACGCCGCACGAACCAACCGTACAGTCGAGGCTGATGAGCAGGTCGGTCCTGCCAAGTCAAGGGTACCCTCCTGTCCTGTGCTTCGCGACCCCGTCCCTGTTACGGTGTGGCCCTCGGAAGGGTCCTGTGTCCTCTCGCGCGTCCTCTCCGACGGGCCCCGACTGTAGATGTCTCACCACCCACCAAACCACCCCAACCCAAGCCGAAGGCTCAGATTTACCCTCGATTTCCAGTGGGGGAGGGGGTCGGGAAACATCGAAAAAACGCATGTGGAACCC